TGCTGAGACTAGCTTTGAACTTGCAGTCCTCCTGCTTTAGCTGCTGGGATTATGGCCATGTGCCACTACACCTGGTTAAAGTCCATGAATCTTCGACTTCGGCACTGACAGACTTCAGCTGTAAGATGGGAAAGGACTGAAGGGGATGAGAGCAGACAGAAGACCCGAGGCTAAGGGAGAGTTTAGAGAGAGGTTGCAGGGGGATCTGAACGTGGGGCTCCCTGTGCCCCACCTCTGACCACAAGGCCTCCTCTGAAGGATCCTGAGAGAAGAAGGATGCGCTTGTGCTTCTCTTCCTGGTAAAGTCTAAAGCTGGGGAGCAAGGAGGCCATGGGGCAACTGCCTCAAGTCACCTTGATGTGCCAGAGTAGGAATGGTGTCTGGTACCAGAGGATGGGAGACTTGGGCAGCAGCCTCCCATTCGAGTGGTACGGGAGGGCACCCACAGTGTCCTGAAGGATTCCAAGTAAAACAAAATTTCTCAGAGAGCACTAGTGAGAACCAGGTGAGGACACAGTCGCACTCTCAATGCAGAGAAGTAATGGGAACCTTCATGTACCATGAAATAGGCAGGTCACTTTTCAAGAGCACACCTGACATCTGTGATGCCCAGAGCCAAACAGGACAAATTAGGATCAAGAAGGGGACCCCCTTGGTTAAGCCTTGAGGAGCTTCAACTTAATTCCAGGAAGAAAGAGAGGGGGGGAAGACAGATTTTAAACTTAATTGTGACTGAGTTATAAATTTGAATTGATGAATTTGAATGAGTTTATCTGAAAGTGACTAGATTAAATTTTTTTCCACTTTGAGGCAGAATGGAGGCTCAAGACAGAAATTACACTCAATTATAGGAGAGTAGAGAAAATTACATTTTTGCACACACAAGTCAGTGACTGTGAAATTTGTACTGGTTCCAATAATTACAGGCAGCCAGGTGTCAGTAAAATCTCAAGAATAGACCAAAGAATCTTGATGTGCTATTCTCCCAAGTTATTATCTGATCTGCCGCTATAGCTCAAAAGATCAGCACAGTGTCTTATCATCAGAAATTGTGGTGAAACCCAGTAGAATTTCTGCTCAAAATGTTCTCTTTAAATCAGAAAGCAGAGCCAAATGTTGAAGGGTAGAAAAAAATTTTTTTTCCCTGAGTTCTGAGGATGCCCAGCCCAATTATAACCCTATGACCAAAAGGGGGAAAATATGAAATTTCAGGTGACAGCTCCAGTTTGCCCCAACAGGTCTGCTCTTCACCAGTTCTCACCTCTCGCTGAGTCCTGGGAGGCAGATATCTGTGGATGCATCACTACGGCTCCTGCCTTGGAGGTACTTAAGCTGGAAGGAGCTCCTAGGAAGAAAAAGAATGCTTGGGGAATATTGAAATATTGATTCCCCCATCTTTCCATGCTGATCCCCATGGCTTGGCTGGCGCCCTCTCTGGAAGACAGCCTTCTCCGCAGAGCTCTCTTCTGAGTTCCAACCTTGGCTCTCTCCTTGCTTTTAGGCTGAGGTAGTAACATGCTATTAATATTGCCTCAGAGTACTGCTCTTTCCCTTGGGAGTCTCCTAAAAGTTTGCCTCTCCCTTGAAAATTTGTGCCTTTATTAAACTCTTCTCTAACTTCCCCACTGAGTCTACTGTGATATCTTGGCTAATCCTTTGGGGACAGTTACGGAAAGTTACGTGCTATTTGCATGAGTTGAGGAACTGGATCATGCTGACACCTGTAGTATAAGGAGCATGTTTCCCTTGTGCAGCTGACTCAGAAGCCCTGAATGAGAAGGACTAATGATATTAATACCTATTTTATAGGTACTAATAAATTCCAGAGTCTTCAGTGCCTCATTGTGGATGTACTTCAAAAATCTTCCAACTCTTCGGTTGTTCATTAGAAATAGTTGATTATTGTATAGCTGTGAAAAAAAAAAAGATAAACAATAGAAAATTCTGGATACCAAAGGGATAGGTGTTCTTTTTTAGAATGATTGCATTAAGCAATTCTTGGCTAAGGATTTTTATTAGGTAGACAATGGCTGAGAATTCATATTTGGATTGAAAGAGGGAGGGGAGGAGTCACTTGGCATGTTTGCTCTCTGTTCTGTTGTACCTGGCAGCGTTATTTCAATAGATACCATGATCTCTCCAACTCCTAGCCAACCATTTTCTGGTTAAAGAAAGTTCGAGAAGCTCTAAGGCCTCCCTCACATTGATAAGAGGGAGGGATACTTCCTGAATTCAATGTTCCTCTGCCACTAACTAAACACTTTTTATTTTTAAATAGACTTATCATCCTGCTAACTGGAATTTTCCTTTTTTTTTTTTTTTTAGTGGGAGCAGCTTCCTCTTAGATGTGGTTCAGTAACAGCTGGATTAAAAAGACTTGCACTTTATTAAGAGCTAGAGTCGTCACGGTGTCATATGTGTCGGATTTATCTCTGTAGTATGGTGACTAGAAAATTGTCACTGCAGGTGATTTTCAGTGGAATAATAGACTTTGTCTTTTCAAAGACTTGCCACAGCCCACGAGGCTCTGGGCTTGCCACTGGGGGGCATTTCTTGCTTTGAACATGATGTGATGGCTGATCTGTTTGCAGAGGAGAGACCTACCAAAGACCCGAAAATTCTCTTGCTCTGCTCTATTCTTTTTTTTTAAAAATACATTTATTTATTTATTTTTAAATAATTGAGGATTGAACCCAGTGCCTCACACGTGCTAGGCAAGCGCTCTACCTCTGAGCCACAGCCCTAGCTCTCGCCCTGTTCTATTCTTAAGAGCAGATGGGAAAGCACAGCTGCAAACACACTGGGGGTCCTGCGCCTCTCATTAGGGAAAGAAACTTCTGAAGCCCATCCTAGGTGATGAGGGAATTTGGACAGAAACGGGACTTTTTCTGCCCTCCAAAGCTAAGCCTCTGACAGCAGTGACCACTGAAACCAATGAGGCTTCTTTACCTCAAATAGACTGCTACCTTCTCACACCCAGGATTCCACATGAGCGAAGCTTATGTCTTATAGATGCAATTTAATACCTAGTTCTGAAAACAGTCTCTTCTTAGCTCCCCAGAAGAAGGTAGACGACACTTCAGGAAGCTTGGTTAGAGTACAGGGTGACTGAGCTCCTAAATAATTTGACACTGACTTTGAAAGAGTCTCTTAAAACTTCCTGGGCTTCTTCCACGTGAAATGACGGGCAAGGCCCCATGAGTGGTTCTTCTCTCTCTGCCATTACTGCTGGAAGTCTAGGAGGAAAGTTAAGGGTCATAATTCATAGTCCCTGGCCCTTTAAATCTGGTATCCATAGCACCACGGGTCATGCCATTATTATGTATTTGTGGCCTATAGGAACACTGGCTGGGCACTCAAAGGAGGACTCCACCAAAGAGAGGCGAGCCAGTGCCTGCCATCACCACCCTGGCTTTCTGCAATTGGAATCTGTGGAGCAGCTAAAGGGAGCCCATTATGAAAACACTCATTTCCATATACTCCCAACCACCACGCTGAACAATTTGTACACTTGCTGAGGAAGACCCATAAGTTACTGAAAAGGTTTTTCCCAGGTGACATTTGAGAAGACCGTCGCATGACCAGGGTGAGTCTCATTGTATAATAAATCTCTTGTCCATTCAGACCTCTGATGAGACTTATTTCTGTTTAGGCAAAGCTGAATAACCTGAATGAAGCATAGTATTATTTTAGACAAATTAATATGGGTTTCAGTAACTGGTTATGTATACTGTCAGGCAACTTAGACATATCTTACAGAGATTCAAAAATGTCATCTCACTGCTACGAAACCAAAGTATTAAAGATGCTTCATAATCTACTTTTTCCTCCTTTTTACAATTGAATTGTTTTTTGATACATTATTATTAACTAAAGTCCACAGTCTGCTTTAGGACTTGTTTTTTTGTGTTGTACGGTATGTGTTTTTGACCAGTGCATAATGTCATGCACCTACCATTAGGGTGTCATACAGAAGAGTTTCCTTGTCTTAAAAGTCTCTTTTGTGCCACCTCTTCATCCTTTCTCACTCTTCTCCAGCCCCTGGCAGCCACTGTCCATTACTGTCTCCATAGTTTTGATTTTCCAGAATGCCATATAGTTGGAATCTTACAATACTAGCCTTTCACACTGGCTTTTCTCATTTAACAATATGCATTTAAGTTTCTCCCATGTCTTCTGGTGGCTCAATAACATTACTTTTTGTCACTGTATATTATTCCATTTTAACCAGTTTGTCCATTCACCTATTAGAGGACATCCTGGTTGTTTCTAGCTTCTGGAAATTATTCATGTGCAGGTGTGTATGTGGGGCGGGGCGGGCGGGGAGGGAAGGAGAACATAAGTCGTAAGTTTTCAAATCACTTGAGCAAATGCCTGGGAGTGTGATAGAGGTGTCATATGGTAAGACTTTATTTCAGCTATGTAAAAAGCTGACAAATTGTGTTCCAGAGCAATTATACCATTTTGTACCTCAGTCCTCTTCATCAGCACTTGTTGCTGTTAGTGTTTCTAATATCAGACATTTTAGAAGGTGTGCCAGTGGTATCTCATTTTTGTTTTAATTTGCATGTTCCTAATGATATATGACATGAGCATCTTTTCATAACCTTATTTACTATCCTTATATCTTCTTTGGTGAAGTATCTGTTCAAATATTTTGCCCATTTTATTGTTGAATTTTAAGAGTTCTTTGTAAATTTTGGATGACAGTTCTTTACCAGACACATGTTTTGCAAATATTTTTTTCCAATCTTTCGTTCATCTTTATTTTCATATCAGGGTTTTTCATAGAGCAGAAGTTTGTAATTCTAACGAGGTCCACCTTGCCAATTCTTTCTTTCATGATTGTACCTGTGATGTTATATCTAAAGGTCACCAAATTCAAGGTCACCTGCATTTTCTCCTGTTATCTTCTGAAGTTTTATGGGTTTGAATTTTACATTTATGTCTATCTTCCAATTAGAGTTAATTTTTGTGAAAGATATGTGATCTGTGTCTGGATTCATTTTTTATTGGTGTATATTAATTTTATAGAACAATGGGTTTCATTGTGACATCAAACATAATATGATGAATTTCATTTCCCTATACCTCCCATTATCCTCCCTTTCCCATTCCCCTGATTTCCTTCTTCTTCACTAATGGTCTCCCTTCTATATTCCTGACATCTTCTTTGTTCTCCCTGCCATACCTTCCACATTTAATGGAAACCATATAGTACTAATTTTTCTATTTCCATTCATTTTCTTGCAGATGACATAGCTTGGTTCACTTTTCAGGGCTCCATTATATATTACATTTTCTTTATCTATCTATCGGTTGATGGGTGCCTCAGCTGATTCCTTAACTTGGCTATTGTGAATTGTGCCTCAATAAACATGGGTATGTTCATATATCTGTAGTGTGATGACTTTAAATCTTTCAGGTAAGTACCAAGGAATGGTTTGGCTGTTTCCTGTGGTAATTCTATTTTTAGTTTTTTGAAGAATATGTATACTGATTTCCATAGTGCCCACCATACTTACATTCCTTCCAAGAGTGTCTATTCCTTTTTTTCCCACTCCAGTCATTTATTATTATTTATATTCTTGATGATTGTCCTTCTATCTGGGGAGAGATGGATTCGCATTTCCCTGATGGCTAAAGACGTTGAAAATTTTTTTCATATAATTTTTGGCCACTTGTACTTTGAGAAGTGTGTATTCATTTTATTTGCCCATTTATTAAATGGATTTTTTTGGGGGGGTGTTGAGGTTTTTGAGTTCTTTATGTATTCTGGATATTAATTCTCTCAGAATTGTAGCCAGCAATGTTTTCTCTCCCATTCAGTAGCTATCTCTTCACTCTGTTAATTGTTTTCACTGCTGTGCAGAAGCTTTTAAAATTTGTTTTATCTTGAAAATCCCATTTATGAATTTTTGCTGTTATTTTCTGGGCTATAGGAATTCCATTCAGGAATTGTGTATGGTGTCTACTTGTCAAAGTGTCTCCTTTATGCTTTCTTTTTGCAGTTGCAAAGTTTCAGGTCTTATAGTTAGGTCTTTGATCCATTTTCAATGGTATACAGAATGAGAGATAGGGATCTAGTTTAATTCCTCTATGTATGGATATTCAGTTTCCCCAGCACCATTCATTAAAGAGGCTTTTAATTCTCCACAGTATGGTTTGGGCACCTTTGTGAAGAATCAGATGACTATGGTTGTGTGGGTCTGTCTCTATGTCTTCTGTACTTTTCCATTGGTCTACATGGCTTTTAATACTAGTACCATGCTGGTTTTGTTTTGATGGCTCTGTAGTATAGTTTGAAGTTGGTTACTATGTTGTCTCTAGCATTGCTCTTTTTTTTTTGCTCAGAATTTCTAATATTTTAATAAGGATTTTTTTGTATCTATGTTCATCAAAGATATTGATTCGTAGTTTTCTCTCTTTGAAGTGTCTTTATCTGGTTTTGGTATCAGGGTGCTGCTGACTTTGTAGCATGAGTTTGGAAGTGTTCTATTACTTTCTATTTCATGAAGTAATTTGAGGACCATTGGCATTAGTTCTTCTTTAAAGATCTGATAGAATTCAGCTCTAAATTCTATCAGAATTCTAGTGTGTCTAAGGGTTTATCAGTCTTGTTTATGTTTCAAAGAATCAACTCTGTTTTATTGCTTCTTTTAGTCTCTATTTCACTAATTTCAGCTCTGATCTTTATAATTTCTTTTCTTCTGCTGGTTTTAGGATTGTTTTACTTCTTGTTTCTCTAAGACTTTGAGATACATCATTAGGTTATTTATTTGAGATTTCTCTGATTTTTTAATGTAGATATTTTATATCTATAAACATCACTCTTAGAATTGCCTTTCCTGTATCCCACAGATGTTGGTACATTGTATTTCTAATTTTTGTTTGATTCTAAGAATTTTTAAATCCTCCTCAATTTCCTCAATGACACTCATTATTCAAAAGTATATTGTTCAATCTCAGTGAGTTTGAATAAGTTTTGTAGTTTTACTTGCTATTGATTTCTAATTTCATTTCATTATGATCTGATAAGATACAAAAATTATTTCATTTTTTTATTTGCTAAGATTTTCTTTATGGCCTAGTTTCATGATCTATTCTGGATAAAATTCCATGCATAGCTGAAAAGCAGGTATATTTAGCTGTTCAATGAAATGTTCTATAGATGTGTGTTAAGTCCATTTGATCTTTAGTGTAGCTTAAGTCTATAGTATCTTTGTCATTTTTGTTTTTTTCTGGATGACTTATGCACTAGTAAGAGTCATGCATTAAAGTTACCTACTATTGTTGTATTGGGACTTATCTGTTCTTTTAGGTTAAGTAGTGTTTGTTTTATGAAGTTGGATGCACCAACATTTGGGGCATAAATATTTGCAACCATTATTTCTTCTTATTGGATTTTTCCCTTTACCAATATGTAATGACCTTTGACTTTTATGATAAATTTTGGCTTGAAGTCTGTTTTGTTGGATAGGAGATTCCTATTTGTTTTCAGATTTCACTTGCATAAAATATCATTTTGTTATCATTTTGTTTTCAGCTTACAAATATATTTGCTGGCAAGGTGTGTTTCTTGCATAAAACATACAGGTCTTATTTTAAAATCCAGTCTGCCAGTCTATGTCTTAATTGAAGAATTATGACCATTTCAATTTCTATGTTATTATAGAGAGGTATGTACTACTTTCTGTCATTTTGTTTATCTCTAATTCCTAATTCTCATTTACTTATCTACTATTCTAATGAGATTTATTTTTTTCCCATGCTAGCTTGGATATTTTTATCTTCTTCTGTATGTATGATTCTTTTAAAAAAATTTTATTTTTTAGTTTTAAGTGGACACATATCTTTATTTTACATTTATGTGGTGCTGAACTCAGTGCCTCAAGCATGCCAGGTGAGCACTCCACCACTGAGCCACAACCTCAGCCCCTATGTGTATGAATCTTTTAAGTATCTTCTGCTGTGCTGACATAGTGATCATGAGTTCTTTTAGTTTATCCTTTTCTTGGAAGGTTTTTCTTATTCAACTTTGAAGGATAGCTTTGTAGAATATAGTGATATAGGTTGGCAGCTATTTCCCTTCAGAGCTTGAAATACATCATTTCATGCTCTCTTGGCCTTTGGAGATTCTGCTGAGAAATCTATAGTTATTCTGATGGATTTACCTTTATCGGTGACTTGATGCTTTTCCCTTGAAGCTTTTAAAAATTTCTCTTTGTTCTGAATTTTTGGCACTTTAAGTTTAATATATCAGGAAGAAGTTCTTTTCTTGTCATGTCTATTTGAAAGTCTACATTCCTCTAGTATCTGCATGTTCCTCATTCCCAAGATTAGGAATATTTTCTACTATTGTTTTTCAGAATAAGTTTCTTTGCCATTATCCTGTATCTCACTCCTCCTCAAGACCTGAGTCTTAAATTTGATCTTTTAATGTTGTCCTAGAACTCTTGGATATCCTGTTCATAGTTTCTCCAATATGAACTGGAGAACTAAGAAGCACGGCCCATACAGGGTCAATGAACTATGACACTATTTTCAGCTGTATCTATTCTGTAAGAGGTAGAATAAGCAACATAA